GCGACGTTTGCTCAACGCGACCAGCAACCGCTAATTAGTCACCTAGTTGAGATCAATCTTTTCATCAAACAACCACTTTTACCTGTCAAGTAATTGTGTTTTTAGAGAATGCCACCGCGTAATGTCACAAGTGTCAACAATCAAAACACAGCAAATAAACATGTGAAAAACTCTATTTCCCAAACCATTTTAGTGTATGCAAATGAAGTTAAGTATACCCGTGACGTGTATTATCCAATAATATCGGATAAACAATGCAACGCTCCGTCCCTACTGAGATGGTGTATACGCTTCGCTTGTTGACATTGACTGCATTGAATTGACCTTGAACTTGATCAGCAATTAAATTAATCGTAACAATTAGATGTAGTTTGTTTATTTCAAATGAAAAAATGCACAACAGAAAACATCTTCACTAATAGGGTTTTCGTGTTGGAGACAAGGAAAAACAACGGAGAAGTTAAAAAACTCTGAAAAAAATGTTAAACTGTTTGATGATGATGCCATGACTACGTAATTTGTCAATAAATATCAGAAAGTTATGTTTTACATTTGCATCCATTTAGATTATCGGAGTGTACTAATTGTTCAATATTTATATAAAAATGAAGTTGAAAAACATTCCCACTTCATAAAAAAGATGTCATTTATAAATTTTGACTTTTATATCATGCTGACTGTCTTAAGAGACCGTTTCATTAAGCGACTGTGTTTCCTTTGCGCGGTCGCTAAATACACGTTTGACTGTAGTTATGCACCTGGGGTTTCGCTTGAGGAATTATCCAGTATTTGTTATTTCCCTTGACTTAGTAAAATATTTTTAGTTTTCAAAAAAAAAAAATTGACCTAAAGTCATAAGATTTACGGAACAGTGGCGCTGTGGGGGCATCCATGTCCTATGGACACATTTCTTGTTTCTAAATGAATGGCACTTCAGAATGTTGCTGGGGTTCTAACCGTTAGGGGACTTATGGATTGCTTGCAATACTATGATAATTGCTTGTTTAAAAATGCATCTATGAATGAATGACATTAATCTAACCAGACACAACCATCAAAGTACCTTTTTCATATACACGCATAATGCTGTTAAACTGGTCTTTTTTTAATTTGACACAAAATTATGCCTTGGTAGTGTTTATTCATCAATCATACATTTTTGTATTATTCTTGGACTGACTGAACAACCATGGGGCGTCCGTGGCTGAGTGGTTAAGATCGTTGACTTCAAACCACTTGTGTTTATAATATTGGACATCATCATCTTTTAATTTCTAATTTGATGTTGGATATTACATTTTTTAAATTTCTCATACAACTTTATTTGCACTTTGTAGTTTTTACTTCTCAGACAATGTCAATCTGTAGCATGTTGTTTAATTTTGTTAGTTGGCTATATCAGAAATATAAAAGTGAACACCTGTCCCCCAGTTTGTAAAGGTATATCAAATACAGTCTTCAGCTTCAATAAAGATGCAATAATGTTTACATTTTTATTGAAATAAAAAAAAAATCAAATTATAATTTTGATTAAACATAAGCTTAACAATTGTGTAGTGATTCATTTTATTTCTTAACAGCTTTTTAATTTTTATGTACTTTTCTAGTATCCCAAAAGTTATTCATCATTGTGAACCATATTTAGTCACCGTCTGTCTGTCCGCTATTCTTGTCCGAGACATAACTTTGAAATAACAAGAAGTATCAACTTGAAACTGTGTAGGTAGATATAGCTCATTGAGTAGAAGTGCAGTGCAAAAGACCCATAACTCTGTCATGCCTAATTTTGGAGTTAGTGCCCTTTGTTAATTTTTACACTTTGAACTTCATCTGGGACATAAATCTGAAATCATAAGAGGTATAATCAACATGATACTGTCTGTAGGTAGATTGATCTCATTAAATAGAAGTGCATTGCAAAAGAACCTCAACTCTGCCTTCCCTTATTTTGGATTTATTGGCCTTTGTTCATTTTTACACTTTGAACTTTGTCTGTGACATAACTCTAACACTACAGTAGGTATACTTTCCTGTGTCCAAATCCTTTTCGCGGAGCATTACCTGGTTTAACCAGTTCTTGTTTAAATGTGTTGCAATTATAGTGACAGTTACAGTTATAGTGAATAATTTTTGCTTTACCGCGAAACGTAATATAGCGGTAAAGTTATGTACTGCAGTTACATTGAATAAGTGATTGTTTTGTTATAAATTGACCAATGGAAATGTATAATTAAATCATTTGATTGAGATAGGTAGGGTTACAGGCGTAGTTGGTATTATCTTAAAATTATCGTATTTGCTAAATTTATTTAATGATATCTTTCATATTTGGTAGGTGGATACTTTTGATGGTCCTCTAATTTTTATGCTCCCCGTAAAATTTCGGGGGAGCATATAGTCCGCGCCTTGTCCGTCTTTCCGTCTGTCCGTCCTTCCGTCTGTCCGTCCGTTGTCTTGTCCGGAGCATAACTTGAAAACTCTTGGAGATAATTTGTTGAAACTTCATACAGTGGTAGAGGGCATATAGGGGGAGTGCAGTGTCAAAGAACAATAACTCTATTTTGCCCGATTTTTTAATTATCTCCCCTTATAGAAAAATCTTGTCCGGGGCATAACTCTAAAACTATAAAAGATATCAACATTAAACTTTGTAGGTGAATAGATCTCAATGGGTAGATGTGCAGTGCATAAGAACAATAACTCTTTTTGCCCTATTTTTGGAGACATTGCCCTTTGTTTATTTTAACTCTTTGAACTTTGTCAGGAACATAACTCTAAAACTGTAAGAGATATCAAGATGAATCATTGTAGGTAGATAGATCTCATTGAGTAAAGGTACAGTGCAAAAGAACCATAACTCTGTTAAGCCTCATTTTTGAACTATCTCCCCTTTTAGAAAAATCATGTCCAGGACATAGCTGTAAAACTATAAGAGATATCAACATGAAACTTTGTAGGTAGATATATCTCAATGGGTAGATGTGCAATGCAGAAGAATCATAACTCTGCCTTGCCTAATTCTGGAGTTATTACCCTTTGTTTATTTTTACTTTTTGAAATTGTCCGGGACATAACTCGGAAATCATAAGAGATATCATCAAGAAACTTTGTAGGTTGATAGATCACATTGATTAGAAGTGCAGTGCAAAGAACAGTTACTCTGCCTTTTCTTATTTTGGAATTATTGCACTTTGAACTTTTTCCAGGGACATAACTCTGAAACCAAAAGAGGTGTACCTTCTGTGTCCGAAACTTATTCGGGGAGCATCACCCGGCTCAAACCGGGCTCTTGTTTGTGGAGTTGGAGGTCTCTAGGGTAAAGGTCAAGGTCATTGGTGCAACAAATAAATTTAAACATTTTTGCTCATACAGCCTTTGTTTTAAAGTTGATTTTTTTTTGCGTTTAATACAAACATGCTAAAGGAGGTCCTTCTTTGGGTGTAGAAAGAGGTCATTTGGGACAAGGTCACCAATATTAAGGCCACCAATGTTAAAAATAGAATTTTACATTGATGTGAACATAAAATTGAGGTCTTCACCTTTGGATGGAGTTAGGGGCCTGTTGGTTCAAGGGTCACCAGTGGCTTAAATAGATTTTTACATTTGCTCATACAGCCTTTATTTATTGACAGATTTATTTCATATTCAGCAGGAAGACAACTTGCATGGTATTCTCCCTTTTGATTGAGATAGGGATCAATGGGTCAAGGTCATTACTGCTCAAAATAGATTTAGGAAAGAGATATCAATTCTGAGTGCATTGTTGTAAAATAATGCATGGTTTGAGTTCAAATGTGTGGTTATACAATCACGAAGGCCGATAGTTATGTCAAAGTATTTGAACAAAAAACCTGCATTATACACAATAACGCACGAATAATTAATATCTATTTCCATTCTAACACATCAAGAAAAAATATAATTATTATTATAAAGTTGAACTTTATGTTTGGTGGTTAAATTTGTTTTCGCCTCAGAGTTTCAAATAGAAATGTTCTTTAAAGGTTGTTCCAGTGGGTTGAAAAAAACTTTTGTTCAATCTACCGTGTGTAGAAACATTTTCAGAATAACAAATTTTGAAAACGTTGATAAAACTTTGTTTGGTTATTTTATTCCATTCTATAATGAATCAAGAGAAAGACAAACCATTAAAAGTGGAATAAATTTAAAACTTAACTCGTTTGCGACAATAAAATAGCGTACTTGATTTGATTGTTTTGCACATGCTGTTTGGCGCTACATTGCGACATCATGTAAACAACACTTTAAACGTTTGTACAGCGTTTAAACAACTGAATTAAAGATATTGGTGTTCGGATTCATATTCTTAGTTAGACCATTTTCTTTCATTCTAGATAGTTTTCAAAACAAAATTCGACAAAAAATGTTTATATTTATCAGATTTTCCAAACAAAATGGCGCCCTCAATGTGAAAATACACAGGGAGATAATAAGAACGGCGAGTGCATTGTTGTAGAATAATGCACGCTTCGGGCCATCTTTGTTTATATAGAAACATTTCCGATAGTTTTAGAATTTTAAACTTTTGCCCATACAGCCTTTATCTATTGACAGATGTATTTCATATTTGATAGGAAGATAAATTGCATTGTATTCTGGCTTGGAGTTAGGTGTCAGTTGGGTCAAAGTAGGTGTCAGTTGGGTCAAGGTAACCAGTGCTCAAAAAAGATTTTTACACTTTTGCCCATACAGCCTTTATTTATTTACAGATGTATTTCATATTTGGTAGGAATTACATGATATTCTTCTTTTTCATTAAGGTAGGATCAGTCGGTCAAGATCAGATAGATAGATTTTATATCTGCTTTTCTATAGTTTACAATATTACCTGTTATTTGTCATGGAGAGTATTTATATTCAGGTGAGTGATATTGTTTGTAACTGACAAGAATCTGAGCCAGGGGCACTTGTGTTTAGCAAACAGGTTCTTGTTTTTTGTGGTCTTGTTTATTGAATGATTTTATTTTCTATTTACAGACACACAAGCAAGTCAATCACAGAGTGTAAATATACCGATAGGTGGAAGAAACATACCGACACTAACTGGCTCTGAACAAAATGACAAAGACACTTTAGATCTATATGGAATTTCTGTCAGGTTCAATCCATTGACTGGATACATGACATTGTTCATTGATAAGGAGATTGATAGAGATGTAAGTTAAATTCTATAATAAAGATTTAAGTTGATATTATTTAGTTGCTAATAAAACATGAAATTTGTCAGAAAGGTTGTTTTGATGATTTCTAGGTCAAGTTTGAAGATGGGTCATGTCCGGTCAAAAACTAGGTCACAGGAGCTAAAAATTGAAAAAGCTTGTTAACACTCTAGTGGCTGCAGTTTTCATCTAAATATTCTGGAAATTTGTCAAGAAGGTTGTTTTGATGATATCTAAATAAAGTTTGAAGATGGGTCATCTCCGGTCAAAAACTAGGTCACAGGAGCTAAAAATAGAAAAGCTTGTTAACACATTAGGGGCTGCAGTTTTCATCCAAATATTCTGGAAATTTGTCAGGAAAGTTGTTTTGATGATTTCTAGGTCAAGTTCGAAGATGGGTCATCTCCGGTCAAAAAATAGGTCACAGGAGCTAAAAAAAGAAAAAGCTTGTTTACACTCTAGAGGCTGCAGTTTTCATCAAAATATTCTGGAAATTTTTCAGGAGGATTGTATTGATAATATCTAGGTCAAGTTCAAAGATGATTTATCTTCAGTCAAAAACTAGGTCACAGGAGACAAAAATAGAAAAAGCTTGTTAACACTCTAGGGGCTGTAGTTTTCATCCAAATATTTTGGAAAATTGTCAGGAAGGTTGTTTAGATGATATCTAAGTTAAGTTTGAAGATGGGCCATCTAAGGTCAAAAACTAGGTCACAGGAGCTAAAAATAGAAAAAAGCTTGTTAAAACTCTAGTGGCTGCAGTTTTCATCTTAATATTCTGGAAATTTGTCAAGAAGGTTGTTTTGATGATAGCTAAGGCAAATTTGAAGATGGGTCATCTCCAATTAAAAACTAGGTCACAGGAGCTAAAAAAAGAAAAAGCTTGTTAACACATTAGGGGCTGCAGTTTTCATCCAAATATTCTGGAAATTTGTCAGGAAGGTTGTTATGATGATTTTTAGGTCAAGTTTGTAGATGGGTCATCTCCGGTCAAAAACTAGGTCACAGGAGCTAAAAATAGAAAAAAGCTTGTAAACATTCTAGTGGCTGCAGTATTGATTTAATTATTCTGGAAATTTGTCAGGAAGGTTGTTTTGATAATTTCTGGGTCAAGTTCGAAGATGGGTCATCTCAGGTCAAAAACTAGGTCACAGGAGCTAAAAATAGAAAAAGCTTGTTTACACTCTAGTGGCTGCAGTTTTGATTCAAATAGTCTGGAAATTTGTCAGGAAGGTTGTTTTGATGATTTCTGGGTCATGTGGTAAGATTGGTCATGTCCGGTCAAAAACTAGGTCACAGGTGCTGAAAATAGAAAAATATTTTTAATACTCTAGTGGCTGCAGGTTTGATCCAAGTTTCCTGGAAATTGGTCAAGAAGGTTGTTTTGATGATTTCTAGGTCAAATTTGAATATGGGTCGTGTCCGGTCAAAAATTAGGTCACATTGACCAAATATGGAAAAATCTTTATAACACACTAGAGGTCACATGTTTGACTTGACTTGGCCATGGTGCTTGTTTAAGACATTGCTTGAATGCGGTTGTGTCAGGTGAGCGATCCAGGGCCATCATGGCCCTCTTGTCTATTCCTTAATTGGTTAAAAGCCCATTTTTTTCTTTTCCTTCATTGGTTACAGCCATGGCCTATGAAGAGAACAGTCAATGGTTGAAATAAGTTTTACAACAATTCTTGTTGATCCTAGTAAATGACTTTGTGTTATCCTGGTTTTGTTTGCTATGCCATGTGTACAAACATTAAGAGTTTGCCTCAGACATTCTTTACTATGTTTACAGGACAATGCACTTGATTCAAATGAGCGTAAAACATCAACTGTTACAGTTTCCATAACGATAGCTGATAATGATGATTTATATCCAACATTCTACCACCCTGGCTGTGGTGATATTTCAAGTTTACAACTCTGGCAAATTCCTGTGATGGTGTTACATATCGTGCATCTATAACATCTAGAGTTAGGGTAAGGTTTTCAAAAAAAATTGTTCAACTCTGCCTGCCTGACTCAAAATTGATTACTCTTTATACCTAAACTATGATTTAGATAAGCTTGCAAATCTAATGATCTAGGCTCAAAACTGTTGATAGTTCATTTTTTTACGTTTGATGTTGAATTGACTGTGCCATCTTTGAAGTTGGGCAATTTCAGTATATAAATTCAGCAGATTAAGAATTGTTTAAGTGATTTCTCACTGGTTTTAAAAAAAATATTTTTTGTAACTTTATAAACATGTAGAAATGTATGTATACAGGAAAATCAATGAATAAACATGCTCAAGATGACCTCATTAAAGATTGATAGTTATGCCTCCACAGAGTGGGAGCATATAGCGTTGCACTTGTCCGTCCGTCCGTATGTCTGTCCGTCCGTCACTCCGTCCGTCACTCCGTCCGTCTGTCCGTACGTCCCGAAATCTTGTGAACGCAACTCCTCTTAAACCGGATGGCAGATTTTGCTTAAACTTCCAGGGATGATCAACCTTAATGTGTAGATGGTAGTAAAGGAAGGAATTTTAGCTGCGACCAAATTTAACAGAATTATGGCCCTTTGTTGATTTTTTTCACTATATACCATATAGAAATTTTGTGAACGCAACTCCTCTTAAACAAGATGGCAGAATTTGCTTAAACTTCCAGGGATGAACAACCTTAATATGTAGATGGTTGTAAAGAAAGGAATTTTTGCTGCGACCAAATTTAACAGAATTATGGCCCTTTGTTGAGTTTTTCACTATATACCATATAGAAATTTTGTGAACGCATCTCCTCTTAAACAATATGGCAGATTTTGCTTAAACTTCCAGGGATGAACAACCTTAATGTGTAGATGGTAGTAAAGAAAAGAACTTTTGCTCCAACCAAATTTAACAGAATTATGACCCTTTGTTGATTTTTTCACTATATACTATTTTGTGAACACAACTCCTCTTAAACTCGATGGCAGATTTTGCTTAAACTTCCAGGGATGAACAACATTAATGTGTAGAATGTGTCATTTTTTACTTGCTTCATAAAAACACCCTTAATGGATTAGAATCGAAAGAGTGTCTTTATTTTCAAAAGTAAGATTTACTTTTATTGTTAACTTTTATTTCCTTTACGAGTTATGTGCACTTTAATAACCATGGCAACGCAACATCGGCGCACGCCGAAATTTTCATATAATGTTTAAATATAAACAAATGTTGAAACAGCTGAACAAACAAGTTTTGAGCAGACGGGTAAGTTGGGAAGTATAAAACCCATTTAAAAAATAGAAATTCGCTCTTTCGGAAATTTTTACCAATAAATGTGGTAGACTCCTTTATATTTTTATAAGGTGATTAAATTGAAGAAAAACAATGAGTTGTCGAGCAAATCTCTTGGTTTCAGGTCGCGCAAGCGATTCAAATACGGCAAATATATGCGCACAGACAGAAAGGGCGACGAATAATTTTAGCGGCAAATTGTTGGGACGTTTGTAACTTCAATTGCAAAAGATCTACAGAAGTTCAGGCATTATGACAGTTTTGCGAGATGTCCGACATGTTTAATTTCTGCATCGGGTCTATGCATTCAATTCTGGCAAAACAATTTAATTTAATTAAAATAATAATTTATTTCATTCATCAGTATATATGCGTATTTACAATTAATACTGGTAGTTATTATTTGTATTTCATGTATTTACCCTGGTCCGTTTGATAATTAATGCTAGCCGGTGTTCAGTAGATTTACCGCATAGAAAAATTGTCAGTTGATAAAATATGTTCTTTATCATCGATAATCATATTGTTTAAAGATCGGACGAGGGCGGTTTCAAATTGATACTATCAATCAACAATTGAATTAACTTAATAACACTGTCTGTTTAGTGTTGAAATAACTCAAAAATCCCGATAAAGAGCGGAAAGTATGCGGCACTCGGACCTTTATACGGAGAATGGAGCGAATAGATGACCACTTTAAATCTCGGGTCATCATCGCAAACAGAAAACTGGTTTTGGTATATGATCCGCAGATATTGAACACTATAAGAGTACTTTCAGAAACAATGACGCTGGTAAAATGTTTCATTTATATTGCGACGTCACGAACGTCATTTTGTTTCATCATCAGCGTGCGCCGGATTGTGCACCCCTTGTTTACCAGGTTTTCAATTTTGAAAATCCTGGTTATTAGATTGGGGTATGGCGGGCGGATGGGCGGATGGGCGGATGGGCGTCAAACGAAATTGTGTCCGCTCTGTAACTCTTCAACCCTTTGAAGAATTTTGATGAAACTTCAGACAAATGTTTACCACATCAAGATGACGTGCAGAACGCATGTTCCGCATGGCTGGCTCCAAGGTCAAGGTCACAGTGACATTAACATTGAAAATTCTGTCCGCTCTGTAACTCTTCAACCCTTTGAAGAATTTTGATGAAACTTCAGACAAATGTTTACCACATCAAGATGACGTGCAGAACGCATGTTCCGCATGGCTGGCTCCAAGGTCAAGGTCACAGTGACATTAACATTGAAAATCCTGTTTACATGATTTTAACTTGATTTGGCAGTCAAAGGTCATATCATCTTTGGAGGTAATTTAAAAAAAGATATGATATATTATTTCATGTCTACTTTTGTAACTTGTTTTTCATTATACAGAATTATCAATATAATTATAGTGAACAAATTCTTCTGTGCTGAACTCGTCCTACATTTCTCAACGGATTTTGTTCAAACTTCACAGAAGCTTTGTCATCAAGCACCCTGGCACATATTGTCGGGGTTTTGTGATTGGATAGTTTTTTGACCTAATTATGGCCCTTTGTTTTTTTCCTTATACATAATATTATAGTGAACACTTCTTCAGTGGCAGTTCCTCCTACATTATTCATGTTTTACATTGCACATAGTTACATTGTTTGTTGCTTGTATTTGTATTTCAAATACAACATATTTATCTACAATGGTGATAATTGAAAACCTGGTTTCATGGCATTGCCATGTTTCTTGTGATTTGTTACTGTCACAGAATTTTTATTTGTAAACAAATTGTATTGATTTTTTCACTGTTTATTAAGGACGTATTTTCATATATGTCTCTTGTAAAATCATATACGCAAATTAAAAGATGTGAAAAGTAGAGCTGCAGTCCACGAACTTTTTGAACAGCCCTCGTATGTTGTCAGTGGGGGCATCAGTGTCCTTTGGACACAGTTCTAGTTTTTTAATAAATTTAAATTCTTCAAAATTTACAGGCAACTTGTTCAATAGCAGTGATACCAACAATATCTGGAGCAGAAACAACTGCAGGACCCCTTAGTGCATTTGATCTTGACAAAAACTAAATGCAGCAATAGACTTTGAAATTATTGGAAGTGAGTTGTGTTTTAACATATTTTTATGCCACCGCAGCATCTGTGATGCGATGGGATATAGCGATTCACCTGCGTGTGTGTTTGTGTGTGTGTTATATAGATTATATAGTGAACTTAAAAAATCTTCTTGTGAAAAACCACTATTCCAATTTCAACCAAACTTGGCAGGATTCCTTGGGTAAAGGGCTTCCAAAGTTGTTCAAAGAAGTTCATTCCATGCAGAAATCTGGTTGCCATGGCAACCAAAAGGAATTATAAGAATAAATTTAAAAATCTTCTTGTAAAGACCCAACAGGCCTAGAGCTTAGATATTTTGCATAAGGCATTGTCTGGTAGACCTCTAACAAGATTGTTCAAATTATAGCCCCTGGTGTCAAAATTGGCCTGCCCCGGGGCAGTGATTCTCATTATGTACACATAGTAAAAACAGAAAATAAAACAAATGTTTTCTGAATGGGAGAAAGCTATAGCTTAGATGTTTGACTTGAAATGTTGTTTGGTGGACCTGTATCAAATTTTTTTTGAATAAAACCCTTGGGTCAAAATTATGCCTTGCCCAAGGGAACAGTGACCTACTTCCTTGTCCTTTGATGTACAGCAACAACATTGTGACCATGTGTACAGTTTTAGTTGTAAAATTGAACTTTAATATCAGGTGACCTAGATTTTGATGATGTGACCTACTTTTTTGTCCTTTGATGTACAGCTATGGAATTTGAACCATGCGGTGGCATAGCATTTTTCTCAAATGCAATCTTGTTTTTTTTTTTACATGTTCTTATAATGCATGCCTTATGAAAATAGGTTGAGTACAAAAAACATTGTACTTTGTTCAGTATTTTCACTTGAGGTCACATTAAATCCTTTGAAATTCCTCTTATTACCAAATGTTTGTCTTTATCTAAGTTCAGTCAATAGAGAAAAGTTATATTTGTTAAAATTCTATTATTCAGTTATTAGATAGAATATACTTATTTGAAAGTTACATATATATCTAACTATATACTTTGTCACAATTTGAATATGTAAATTATCTCGTTCTTCAGCTCTCCCTTCGAGATATGAGAATTACTTTACTGTGAGCTTGTCACCTGCACCAGCAGATGCAAATCTTTTGGGTAGGAATATATACACTGCCAGTCTGACACAGAACACAGCCATTAACAGGAATGTTGCCAAATCGTTAGATGTTTATCTAAAGGTATTCAAGCATTGATGAATTGTTGTTAATATTGAATATATTTACTGTATAGAAGTTTTGATTTCTTCATATTTTTTTCTTAACAAATACACGTTAAAAACAAAAGTTATAATTGTTAGCTATATATATATATCATAGATAATTTTCTGCTTTCTTTTTATCTTTTAATATTTTTTTCAGTCAGATATTTGTTTAAAAATAACTTAAGCTACTGTTTTATTATTGTAAAGGAGCTAAAAATAAAAAAACCTTGTGAACACTCTAGTGGTCACATTTTTGACCCAATCTTCATCAACCTTTGTCAGAATGCTTGTTTAGATCATTGCTTGGATGAGTTCTATCATGGGTCATCTCCGATGAAAATGTAGGTCACAGGAGCTGTGAATAGAAAAACCTTGTGAACACTCAAGTGGTCACATATTTGAACCAATCATCATAAAACTTGGTCAGAATGCTTGTCTAGTCAATTGCTTGGATGAGTTCGAACAATGGTCATCTCTGATGAAAAACTAGGTCACAGGAGCTTAAAAAATAGAAAAACATTGTGAACACTCTAGTGGTCACATTTTTGACCCGATCATCATCAAACTTTGTCAGGATGCTTGTTTAGATAATTGTGCAGATGAGTTCGATTATGGGTCATCTCGGATGAAAAACTAGGTCACAGGAGCTATAAATAGAAAAACCTTGTGAACACTCTAGTGGTCGCATTTTTGAACCAATCATGATCAAACTTGGTCAGAATGCTTGTCTAGTCAATTGCTCAGATATGTTTGAATATGCTCATCTCTGATGAAAAACTAGGTCACAGGAGCTAAAAATAGAAAAACCTTTTAAACACTCTAGTGGTCACATATTTTACCTAATCATGATCAATTTTTGTCAGGATGCTTGTTTAGATAATTGCTTTGATGTTTTTGCACATGGTTTATCTCCGATGAAAAACTAGGTCACAGGAGCTATAAATAGAATAACCTTGTAAACACTCTTGTGGTCACATTTTTGACCCAATTATTAAGAAACCTTGTCAGGATGCTTGTTTAGTCAATTGTTTGGATGAGTTCGAACATGGGTCATCTCGGGTGAAAAACTAGGTCACAGGAGCTAAAAATAGAAAACCTTGCGAAAAGTCTAGTGGTCACATTTTTGACCCAGTCATCATCAAACTTTGTCAGAATGCTTGTCTAGTCGATGCTTGGATAAGTTTGAACATGATTTATCTCGGATGGAAAACTAGGTCACAGGAGCTAAAAATAGAAAAAAACCTTGTGAACACTCTAGTGTCACATTTTTGAACCAATCATGATCAAACTTGGTCAGAATGCTTGTCTAGTCAATTGCTCAGATATGTTTGAATATGCTCATCTCTGATGAAAAACTAGGTCACAGGAGCTAAAAATAGAAAAACCTTTTAAACACTCTAGTGGTCACATATTTTACCTAATCATGATCAATTTTTGTCAGGATGCTTGTTTAGATAATTGCTTTGATGTTTTTGCACATGGTTTATCTCCGATGAAAAACTAGGTCACAGGAGCTATAAATAGAATAACCTTGTAAACACTCTTGTGGTCACATTTTTGACCCAATTATTAAGAAACCTTGTCAGGATGCTTGTTTAGTCAATTGTTTGGATGAGTTCGAACATGGGTCATCTCGGGTGGAAAACTAGGTCACAGGAGCTAAAAATAGAAAACCTTGCGAAAAGTCTAGTGGTCACATTTTTGACCCAGTCATCATCAAACTTTGTCAGAATGCTTGTCTAGTCGATGCTTGGATAAGTTTGAACATGATTTATCTCGGATGGAAAACTAGGTCACAGGAGCTAAAAATAGAAAAAAACCTTGTGAACACTCTAGTGTCACATTTTTGACTCAATTATCATCAAATTTGGTCAGGATGCTTGTCTAGGTAATTGCTCGAATGTCAAGCTCGAATATTGGTCACCTGGGGTCAAAAAGTAGGTCACACTGCTCAAATATGGATACTCCTTGTTAACACTAGTGGTCACATTTTTGACACACCTGTCATGAAACTTGGTCAGAACGCTTGTCTAGGTGATTGTTCGGATGAGTTTGACGGGTCAGGTGAGCAATCTAGGGCCATCTTGGCCCTCTTGTTTTTAATGAAAAATGTTTGTAAGTACAATATTGGTTCTGTTAAAAATTGTACTGTAAACTTTGCTTCGGCAGAATTATTATTGTTTTTTTTTTATTTCTATAATTCACAATAGGCAAAGCAAACTGATAACAGTGAGAGATACCGTATAGCAACTATAAAATTCCAAGTTGAACCGAATAATGCCAATGATCCAGTCATGTCAATAGTTACCGGTGGAACAACTGGATATATCAAAGAAAATGTCACTTATGGTACAAATGTCCGTTCTGCAGCAGACGGAGAGGCTTCCATGCAGATTCAAGGTACTGATGCAGATGTGGTAGGGACTTTTGTACAACTTAAAATACATGTATTCTTGTAAACATAATTGAAAATCATTATGATGTTAGTTTGTTTTATTCAAATAGAATAGACTGTTCTTTATGAGGAGAATGGAAGCTAAGTTTAAAAA